CAGATGTTCGGGGTGTAGGGGCTCCCAGCCCAGAGGAACAGCCTGTGCAAAGGCCCCGAGACTGAGGCTTGGCAGAGGGAGTAGCAGTACTCATGTGCCTAAGGTCAAGTGGGGTAAAAAGGTGGTCATAAGACAGGGGTGCAAGGGAAGACTCTGTACTCTAGGGCTTCCTAGGCCCCAAACGGGCCCTGAGATCCCCTGGGAGGAAATCACTGGAGAGTTTCAGACAGAGACATAGTTCCGTTTGGAAAGGGTCATAATGCAGCTTCATAAGAAAGAGGCAGTTGGGCTTCCAACAGGGAGACACGTCCAGAGGCTGCAGTAAAACCTGCCAGGAGATCATGGTGACCAGGAGGGAGGAGGTGGCAGGTGGTGCTGAGATGAAGTCTACGTAGGTTGTATGTGGAAGGCAGAGCCAATGGAATTTGCTATCAGATTGAATGAGGGGGGTGGGGCCTTCAGGGTTGCATTCTCTGAAATTGTTACTTAATGGTGCATGAGGAGCTCTGCGAGGCCTCTTCCCTGATAATGGACACTCAACATGACATCACTGGCCAGATTAGGAGCTTGTTTCCTCCTTGCCTGCGTTTTGTTCTGAGCACATCGATAGCATTTACAAGGCTGCAGGAATAGCATTTCTCTGCCTTTCTGTTTTTGATCTGCAAATTCCTGCTGCCACTGCAAAGCATCCCTACAAAAGCTCTGCCGTCCTCTTGAGGCCAAGAACAACAAACATATCCATCCTTCTGCACACCACTGCCTCTGTGCATCAATTATGCCCCCGCCATAATCTCCAATGTCTCTTTCCTTCAGACTCTGCTCCAAGCTGTAACTGATTCATGTTCAGCCTGATGCAATAATCTTCACACTGACTCTTCTGTTTTTCCTGCTTCCAGAAAACTGCCAGCTAGTCGCCCAAATTATCCGTGTCCAGTTTCCTTTCGTCCACTCACGGTCCCTTTGAGACTCCTGTCTCAGCTTCCTTTGGATTCTCTCTCTCTCCAATGCGCCCCTCTCTCCCACCAAATTTAAATAGTTTAGCATACTCTTTGTACACATCCTTTTCATCTTTGGTATGTATCTTTGCAATTTTGGATTCTCTCTGGCAAGCCACCTTGAGAACTGAGTACATCAAGCAAACACAGGGTATGAATCGGGAGCACCCCCACCTCCTTTTCTGGTTATCCCTGCTTAGAACATGAGAATGGAACACAAATAGCAAATAGGATCCAGAGGGGTAATTCCTTTTTTTTTTTCCTTATTGTAAAGTAAGCAGTTGACCTGGTAGTTTGTGGTCATTTATGCAGCTTGATCAATATTTCTGGCCCTGTGACTTTAGATACACAGATGAAAGTTGTATTTTTCTAGCCCTTTTTTGGTCAGATGAAGCTATATGACTAATTCTGGCTAATAACTTGAGAGGGTTGGTACCATTTATGATGACTTCCCTCATCTCATGGGGATGACTCAATACTGACGGTAGCTTGGGTCACTGGTGATGTTCTGAGTTACTGATTGGCTCTGAAATATAGCCCTTTTGGTAACCTGGCAGATATGCAGCATGGATAATAAACCTTCGTTTTGACTACTGGGATTTTCAGATTATTACCACATAAGCTATGTCTATGGTTTTTTTCCCCCCATGGTGTTGGGAATCAGACACAGGACTCATATATCCTCTTAGGTATGTGCTTTGCCACTGAGATGAGCCCTGTCCCAACCTAACTGAGGCTGGCTTGATTTATTCAGGTCACCTCTTTCTGTAAAAGGTACTTAAGAATGGGACCTTAAAGCAAATGAGAGCTTGAATAAATAAGGACAGGCCTAAGTGAGATACCAGACAAACCTATTCTAGCCCTGGGGTCCCTCGGAACTATGACAGTAAAAGGAGGGTCGGCATCAGCTTTGGAGATGGCGAGAGAACTCTGGAGACAAAGTGGAGACATGTAGGGGCTGTCTAGGGTTGGAACTGTGCTGTCTCTGTGGTGTCAGAAAGGAGCTTGAGTGACCTCTACCAAACACGTTGCCTCAGCAGCCAAGCAGCCACACAGCTGGGGTCCTATTTAGTCAGGAAGGAATTTTCATTACACATGATGACAAGAAGTCAAGGCAGGAAGGGCCACGTGCCTCTCTGCTTCATGACCCCCTAAGAGGGGAGTGCATAGGACCTGTGTGCCCAAGCCTGTGGTGGTGACACAAACAGGGATCGGGGACAATGTCTGTGCACAGCTCCAAGCCAAGTCTGGAGAAGTAAACATGCCTGATGATGCCATCCAAGTACACAGAGTGACGAAGGGATGCTTGCTAGCTTCCTGTGGAGAAGAGCAGCTAAATTGTCACATCTCCGCCTTGCACAGCCTTTGCCACGGTCCTTGTTTCTTGCTTTGCACTTGGGGGAAGGCGATGGAGAAGTGGGCACTTTCTACCTCCCCCCCCCCTTTCTATGAAACCCGCTGTTTAGGGGAGATGCCTTGTTTTTAATTGGCGGGAAGGGGGCGGGGCTAGTGAGAGTCGCCAGCTTTCTGCTTGTGTTAGGATTTTGGGAAGAGTGTGAAGTCGATCTTCGAGCGGTTGCAGCTCTCCAGAGCTGTCAGGAACTCAGAGACTTCAGCTCTGATTAAAACTCATGACTGGAAAAGATTACCATAATTCAGTGACAGGCATGGGGAGAAAGCCACGATGATGCTGGTGACAGTGTGTCAGGGAAGAGGCCACTACAGTGAGTGCTTTACTTCAGCACCCAGGACTTTCCTCAGGGTCACCACCGAGAAACAGTCTTGTGAAGGAATGTGAGCCAGTGTGTACTTGGCCTGCCGCAGATACTCACCTTACCGAGGAAGAGGGACCAGGCGTATTCACATGCAGTGATTTCTCTACTGGAGTCACGTTGTTAGAACAGACGCTACTGACCCATGTGGTTAAGGGGCCAGCAGAGAAAGAAATTCAACGTTTCAGTCCAATAAGCCCAATTAATTGTCTGGACCCCTCTGACCACTTCCAATAAAGCTTCTCACCTCAGGGTTCTCAGAACACACTACGCTGTCCTTCTGTGCCAAGGTGTCCTTCTGTCCCCAGGCCACAACAGGCTGTTTCCTGTTACTCTATCCTGTTTAGGCCCCTGCATGCCTTCACACTCTTCAGGTCTTTCTAGGTGGCCCTGGGTCCTTGTTAGATTCCTTGGAGCTCAGCTGTGAACTTTGCTAATGCCTGGGTCATTCTGGCTGTATCTTAACTATGGGCCGTTCAGTTTGTAGCTGAAGTATTATGACTTAGAATTTAGGGGACTCAAGGAAAGGCTGGTGTTGGGGAGCTGAGTATATCTGGGCGACTCTTTAGATCTTACTGGGTAAGTAGTGTATTCCTTTGCCTAAGTGGTGCAGGGACATGGCACGGTCTCCTGTTTGTATTGTGGGGCTGTATATTTCTCTACCTCTTCACAGTTGATAAAATGGCACTTCCTCCATACAATCTTCCTTTATTGACGTAGGTTGCACTGTTTGATGGCATTCTCTCTGAAGTGTGTGTGTGTGTGTGTGTGTGTGTGTGTGTGTGTGTGTGTGATCTAAAGTATGTAGGTAATCAGCTGTCCATAGTTCTGAATGTCTCAGAAAGCAATGGTCACTCTACTATGAGGTGGGCAAACTCTGTGGCAAGCAGATTTTCTCGATTGGAATACTCATTTCAGTCTAAGATCTCCATTTATCAGCTTGTATATATGGACTAAAGTCTGCACTCTGCTTACATTTTAACATGGGAAGAACTCTGTTTTACTCACACATGCATATGAATGCTTGCACACACAGAGAGAACATTCTGTAGTGGTAAGTTATTTTATATCAAGACCAAACGACTCTAGGGTACCTGGAAATAAGTATTTGGAGGGAAATTTAAAAAGTAAGTCTGAAAAATATTAAGAATGTGCATCTTTGACTCAATGATATATGAATGTAGTAAGAGGTCCATTCATATATCCTTGTTGGGTTACATTTTTTTATATTTATTTTATGTGTTGCCTGTGTGAATGTATGTGTACCATGAGTGTGTGGTACCCACAGAAGTCAGAAGAGGGCATCAGACCTCCTGGAATTGGTGTTGTAAGGTTGTGAGCTATCATGTGGGCACTGGGAACTGAACCCAGGTCCTCTGCAGGATCAGCAAAAGTGTTGTTGGTTGTTTTGGCTCTTTTGGGGGCCTGCCACCCAGCTCCCAAATAAATCACACACAGGGGCTTATTCTTACTTATAAATATCCAGCCTTAGCTTGGCTTATTGCTTGCCAGTTTTCTTTAACTTAAATTATACCATCTACCTTTTTTGCCTCTGGGCATTTCCCATTCTCTTACTTCTGTAAATCTTATTCTTACTTCATGGCTTGCTGTGTAGCTGGGTGGCTAGTTCCTGGTGTCTTCCTTCTTCTCTGGCTCCTTCTTTCTGGATTTCTCCTTCTGTATATTCTCTTTGCCTGCCAGCCCTGCCTATCCTTTCTCCTGTCTTGCTATTGGCCATTCAGTTCTTTATTAGACCATCAGGTGTTTTAGACAGGCACAGTAACACAGCTTCACAGAGTTAAACAAATGCAACCTAACATAAACAAAAGTAACACACCTTAAAATAATATTGTATAATACAAGAGCACTTAATTGCTAAGCCATCTCTACAGCCCCAACATACTTTTTTTAAATGACTAGGAGGATATACACCAGAATATCAACTGGTTAGTTTTTTAGTGTTTATGAGCAATTTTATAATTTATTCTTTTATTTCAAACTGTTACCAAGAATGACTACTTTTATAGTAAAAATAAAAAGGTGACTGAAACTATGAAATTTAGTTTGGAGAATCGGCCCAGGGTTACGTAAGGGCCCTCATCACAAAGCCTGACAACCTGGGTTCAGTGCCTGAGATCCACATGAAGAAGGAGAGAACAGACTCCCAAAACCTTGCCTTCGACCTCCACACGTACACTGTGGCATGTAGGTACCCCACACATACACAAACAAATCAATGTAATTAATTTGTTTTAGTATGTAAATCTCATTGTTCAAATTTTAACTCAGAAGACATGCTGAGGTCTGACATAACACATACACAGATAGGAAATGTTGGCAAACCATGGAACTTCCAAAAATCATTGGGACGATTTACGAAAAGCATTCTGTTTGGGGAATTACAGCAAAAAAAAAAAAAAAGCTGGCGTCTCCTTCTGCTTGCAGCATTTTATTTATCCTAACCCTTGATTTCCACTTCTGTATAAAGGAGACAACAAATCATTTCCTAGAGCCATCATGCAAATTAATGGGGGAACATTCAGACACAGTACTTATTTTCAGTGGAACAATATGTAACTCCTTAGAAATTAGGGCACACGATGAAAGGCTGGTGGTGGGGAGGAGAGTCCCTCTGGGTGACACAGGTGACATCCTGTCCTTGTCGGCCACTTCTACCTTGTCCATCTTATTCACTTGCCAGAGGGGTACTGGCTGTGGGATTTGTCCCCTCATTTATACTCACAGATCACTGTTTTAAAATGCATGTCATTGTTATTTAGGTATGGCACACCACTGGAAAAGGTTTGTTACACTCTCAGATCCTAAAAGAAGGGAGAAAACCAGGCTAGCGGGGGCAAGGGCCACAAAGGGAAGGACAAGTTGGTCATGGCACAGAGGGTGCAGGTAAGAACGAGAGTGAAAGTTTCCATTGCCCTGCAGGTTTCGATGGCTGCAGCAGTCTCCAAGACGCAGGGCTGCTCTCAGGTGCATGGTGTTTGACCCTAGAGCAAGTAACTTAGAGCAGATAGATGGGGACCCAGAGTGTGGGAGACCATCAAAGAAGGTGGTTGGAGATGGTGGTTATAGATGGGGAGATTTACAAATGAGAGACCCAGCAGCGCAGCCTGCAGGGCCTGCTCATCAAAGCTACAAAACAAACTGGTTCATACAGATATAGGTTGGCACCACCATGCTTCATCACGTCCCTATGGAAGAGGGCCAGGATCTTGACTTAGTCTGAAACCTTTGCCAGCCTCTGTTTTCAAGAATTATGATTGCAGTTGTTTTTTGTCTTTCTAGACCAGTGTGAAAGCTGTCCTGGAACTAAGTGGCATAAGACGAAAGCTTTTTCATTCTGCTCATGATTCTGCAATTAGAGCTGAGCTCAACTGGGTGACTCTTCTGCTGACCTTGCCAAGGTCTCCCAGAAGAGTACATTCAGTTCACTGGATAGCCATGGACTAGACCCAGCTGAAGGCTGCCATGACTGGACCTCTTCCCAGCCTTCTCTGATGATGGCTTTGCCTTTGCCTCCTCTAAATAATCTTCACACAGAAGACAGGTCTCCTCTGAACGGACCAGGACTGTCAAGCATGCAGAGGCAGAAGTGGTGTGAGGGATGACTGCCACCTGTCATAGTGGGTGAGGTGGAGCAGCCACTTAGACCTTCAGAGATAGGGAGAACCCTAGAGGTCATCTAGCCCATCCCAGTAGGAGAACAGACCTGAAGGTTCCCACGCACTGGGCTGTATGCATGTTGCACTTTCCCTTCAAGAAAGGGTGCATCAGGAGCCATGGGATCCATAGTGGAGCTACCGCCTCCACCATTGCTGCTGCCGCTGCCGCCGCCACTTGCGCTGCTCGCCCCGCGTGGAAAGAGAAGAGCGTGGGGCTGCAGCAGTGTGGCCTACAGGCTGCAAGCATGCTGGTCTTGCCCAAGGTGCAGGGCGGCACCAAGGCAAGGTGGTACACAGCAGCCTGGAGCTCACGCAGGCCCCGCCCCCTAACAAACTGCCCAACTCCATGATCACCCAGACTCAGCAACAAGATATCCAAGAGGAAGAATGGATTCATTTTTCTGGCTAAGTCTCCTCAAAAGACTTCTGTGGTGGTACGTGCTGCCGTGGGAGACCATGCTGATGACCGTGGTCCATGTTGCTGCAGGCGGCCATGCTGATGCCCTTAGTCTGTGCTACTAGGGCAGGCCATGCTGATGTCTATGATCCATGTTGCTTCCAGAAGCCATGCTGATCTCTGTGCTCTGTGCTGTCACCGGGTGCTGTGGGAAAGGAAACGTCTTTTGCAGTGGTATGGATGACTGCCGACTCATAACTGAGAATCAGACATTAAGGGCTTCTGTGACAGTCCCCTCCCCCCAAAAGAAACAATCCAGACAAGAAGCTATTGAAGAGAGTCTTTAAAAATATGTGGTAAAGATGCTAAAGTGTAGCTCTTCACAGTCGATGACTTCTGGCAGTGGCGGTGGGGGTGGGGGGTCAGGGGTCAGGGTGGGAAGGACTCAGCTGTCTTTAAGGGGCTGGCCACTGGGAGTCTGACCATGCTCCAGCGAGTATCTGGGCACACCAACTGGACTTGTTGCTTTTGTGGGGGAAGACACAAGGGTCGGGGAGTGGACAGGGGAGGAATGTTAAGCAAGTGTGATGAGGTCCAGTGTATAAAATTCCCAAATAATTAATAAAAATATTGTGTTGGGGAAGGGAAAAAAGCCATATTAAGATTCTGAAGTGGTAGGGCCAGTTTTCGATCACCACACCACAGGGATTGGGCTGTTGCTATATTTTAGACAAAGTGTGCTGGTGTACCAAAGAGTCACTGAGCTGAGCTGACACAGAACTGGAGGACCACTTCTCGAAGTTCCCATCAAGTCAAAGGAGGGATGTTTCTTTTGCCTTGTATTCTGATAGTAGAAAAGATGTTTTGTACAACTGGACAGTCCCTCTCCCTTGAAGACATAACCACCAGGTTACAAAGGTTTATGAAGTCCTGGCAAATGACAAGTTTTCTCTCAATTTTTACTTTTTCTCAAAAAAAAAAAAATGGTCCCTGGATTACCATGATGATGATGCTCTATGTTCCTAGGTTGGAGTGTAAATTAGTGAGCTAATTTGCTTTTGCATTTGCCTTGTTAGAAGTGTGCCGTCTGGTGGTTTTCCAAATTACTCTCTGTATGTACAGCTAGTGTAACCACCTATTACCTTGTTATTACTAGATTCTTCTGAGATTAAAAAGGAAAAAGAAATCACTGTCAAAAGCAGCAATATCTAGTGAGTGTGTACCCATAGGCAATGGCAAGTGATAAAGTGAACAGCAAGGGGACTCCGCTCATGGCATCATGTGGTAGCATTTTTCGGGGTCTCTGTTAAATGTGCTGATACAGAAAAACTGTTTTTTCCTTATTTGCAGAAGACAGTTGACCAGGCTGCAGGGGAGAGGCATCTCCGGGGACTCTGGCACCCTCTTCAGCTAAATGTTCCCTACTTGACAGTGAGTGTCAAGCCCTGAGTGCAGGCCTAGAATCTTCTTGTCCCAGTGGAAATGTGTTGTGCAGAACCATAAGCTTCCCACTTTGTTTGTACAGATAGGCCAGCAGGATGGACATCTCCTTGATGGTACCTCGGTGGCTGGCAGCTTAAACTGTGAACTGCCTCTATACTATTGCTGGGGTTGTTCTGTTTTTAACTAAATTCGAATCTGTGGAGTCCTTCCTGCTTCATCCCAGAAAATGAAAAATAATGCCTTTTTTTGACATTGTTTCTAGAATTTTAAAGTAAAAAATGATGATGCAACCCAAAATTCTCTTATTTCAGAACATGACGACAATAGATTGCTTTAACATAGACTCAAGATAAAATTATCTTACCTTCCAAGTTTAGGTTGACTGTTGACTCCAGGGGTTATGATCAATACCAGCAAACCCTTTTCCACCTGACATGTTCAGAAGTTTGGTGTGTGCGTTTGTACATGAGCACATGTGTTCCCGTGAGGCTATGTGCATGCAGGTGTCCATCGGTATCAATGCCTGCCTGAGATAGCGTCACATTCCTGGTTCTGTGTGAGGAGCAGAGTGGATAAAGTGACATAAAACAGCCCTCATATTGTTTTAAATAAGACTAATGTTAACTGTTCTCAGAACTGGACTTTTCTTTTCCCCCCCTCAAAATTAAAACTTTTTTTCTTTTGGGTTTAATGAAGTATTGCTAATGGAAGCCAGTTTGGCATGGTGAGAGATGTCAAACTTTTCAAAAGTGTGCAGCCTGATTTAAAACCAAATCCTGAACCCTTTTAAAGAACAATAAAACGTATTTTTACATGGAAAAAAAAAAAAAGTGTGCAGTCCTCAGCTACTCAGTCTGTCCGACACAGCGCCTCTAGTGGCAGAGAAGAAGAATGCATGTGCTGGACGCAGGCATACCTGAAAATGTTATCTTGAATTCTTTTACTCTTTAAATTTTATGATAACAGCTCTCTGTTCCACAATATATTTATTATTGCTTAAAAGACAACATGATCACTTATATTTCTCTTCATTTACCCCAGGGATATCCAAGGCTATTGTCCTCCCCACCTTCCCTGGGGACATCTTTAAAACATTCAACAATATCAAGCATTCTTATATTTTAGGTATATCATTATTTGGAAATTTGAAAGTTGTCTTAGGGTTTATATTGCTGTGAATAGACCCCCATAAGCATGACAACTCTTGTAAAGGAAAACATTTAATTGGGATGGCTCACAGTTCAGAGGTTCAGTCTATTATCATCTGGTAGGATATGGCCACATGCAGACAGACATGGTGCTAGAGAAGGAGCCGAGAGTTCTATATCTTGATCTGAAGGCAACAGGAAGTGAACTGTCTACCACACTGAGGATAACTTGAGCAAAGGAGACCTCAAAGCCCACCCCACAGTGACACACTTCCCCCTACAAGGCCACACCTACTCTAACAAAGCCAGACCTCCTAATAGTGCCACTCTCTCTGGGGGCCATTTTCTTTCAAATCACCACAGAAGTCCTTCCTCTTTGCCCCTGATTAGAAGGGAATACTTTGCTATTTAGATACTTTGCAATAAGTTCTGGATTTCCTTTCCAAGTCTATCCCATGTCCATTCTCCTTCAGTTGTGGGATATGATTTCATTCTTACCATTGATTAATAATTCATGATAAACCCCTCCTACTTTGATGTGTGAAGATGTCCTCTAGCCATTTTCATATGCTTCTCTTTTGACTGCCTGTTAGCCCTGAGGGAACCGCTCCCATCACATGTCCCTCAAACAGTTACATATCCCAAGCTCTCGCTTCCAGCCCCTTCACATTCTTCCTGGATTATTCTACCCATTAATTCTGCCATCATCAACATTCTATTATTCCTGAGTCTCCTTCTATAAAGAGCACAACCACTTTATTGAAGGCCAGAAACTTATTTTTATCAGCTCCCTGGATACATCTGAACAAATGCCCCGTGGTACCTCAAATTTAAATGCACCAAACTCATGACATCCTCCACAAAATCTGTTTCTCCTCCTGTGTTCCCAATCTTAGCACCACCGTCTTCTCCATAACGTAAGTTGGGGACTTTGAAGTCATATATGACACCTCCTCCTCAATTCCCAAGTCGAGTTGTCCAAATCTGAGTAAATGTGGCTCTAACACACACTTAAAATCTGTTTGCTCTAGCTCATAACCACAGCATGTCTTGCTTAGCTTTTGGTGAGAAACCCTGACTTATAGACAGCTGCTTTCTTACTGAGCCCTCGGATGAAGGAGACAGAAAGCTCTGATGTCCTTTCCCTTTCTAAGGGCATTCATTCCACCAGGAAGTCTCCAGACTCTCGACTCCATCGAAACCTAATTATCTTCCAAATATCCTCTTTTCCAATGTTATCACGTTGTAGGGTTTAGGCTTTAACATGTAGGTTTGGGGCAGACACAAACATCTAGTCCTCTCATTGATTGGCTCTCTCCCTTTCCTTTGCCCCTCTCCTCCATATCTTTCAGATTGGTTTTTCTGAAACACACAAGTGATATGTGATTGCTTTGGGCAAAACTTTTCAATAACAGCTTTCTGCATGGCCTAACCATGGCACCGGGTGCAGGATTGCATCCAGGCTCAGCCTATCTGTCTTAGCTGCTTCTCCGAAGATACTGTTCTTCCCACCTTCTCTTCCCTGTTGCCCTTCTTAGGCACTTTCCCCATTCAGCTAGCTCATTTGTTCTGGACCTCTTCAAATGTCACAGCTTTTGTAAACCCTACTCCCCAGATAGCATTAATCATTGACTTGTCTGGGATTTATATGTCAGTGGTTTTTAAATTTGACTGCATATTAGGAATACTTAGTGTATTGGTTAGAATTTTCCAGAGAAACAGCACCTAAAAGACACACACACACACACACACACACACACACACACACACACACACACACACACACGTAAATAGAATTGTAAATTGGATATATGGGATTATAGAGTACATATAAAGAGACTTATATGAATATGTTACAAGAATCATGAGATCCAGAGGCTGACAAGTCCTGAGCCAGGTGGAGGCCCTTTGAAAGCCACTTGCTCTGGTTCCAGTTCAAAAGACAGCAAGCTCATGACTCAGGAGCACTTTCATTCAGGTCTGAAGTCAGGCACAAACTTACATCCCAACTCAAAGGCACACAGGAAGGATGGATTTCCTCTTCCTTAGGGAAATTCCTTAGGCTTGTTCTATTCAGGCCTTTAAATAGCTGGATGTAGCCCATCCCCATTGGGGAAGACAACTTGGTGGATTTAGTCTATCAGTTTAAATGTTAATAAATTCATTCAAAATCACCCTCACAGAAATACCTAGAATGATGTTTGATCAAATATATAGCCATCCCATGGGGCAGTCCAAATTAACAATTATACCTGGGAACTATTAAAAATGGGCTAATTCCACTGGATCTGATCGTTTGGATCTGATCGTAGGAGTTTCCATGGTGTTAGGTAAAGCTTGGCTATCAATTCATTTTTAACTTCTTCCTACAACCAAGGGAAAGAGCCAAGTAAAACTAATACAGACCGTAGGACCTGTGGGTACTATAGGAACCAGCCTCCTAGTTAAAGTCCTCACCCCCCCAATACCTCAGAATTCAGCCCTGTTTGGAAAGAGGGCTGCTGCAGATGTCTTCAGTGGAGAGCAGATCGTAACAGCAAGGGGTAGACCCCAATCCACTGTGACGAGTGTGTGTCCTTACAAGACACAAGGCTGGGTGTAGTGGTGCACACCTTTCACCCCAACACTCCAGGGGCGCAGGCAGGCAGAACTCTATGAGCTCTAGGCCAGCCAGGACCACAGAGAAAGAGAGAGACAGCCGCGTGACAAAAAAGGCAGAGACTGGAGCTGGCACCTGCAATCCAAGCAGTGTCCAGGATCACAAACAAAACACTGGGAGCTGTATAGAGGCAGGGAAAGATTCCCGGTGGCTTCTGAGGGAACACCGCCCTTGAATCTTACAGCCCCTGGAATCGTGGAACAATTTCTGGTAAGCCAGGCAGCATTTGTTATCTTATTATGATGTCCCCAGGAAATCAACAAAATAACCAGTTAAAGAGAGGCCCTAAGAAAAAGGAGGATTGCAGCCTCTTATGGGAAGGCAGAGTGGGATAAGCAGGAGTTGGCCATTCGTTCTATATGGGTTGAGAGAGGAATGTCCTCAGGTTCCTTCCCTCCCTCTCTCTCCCTCCCTCCCTCCCTCCCTCCCCAGTCCTTTAGTTTGAGATCTTCCAAATCTAATACCCTGTAACATATATAACCAAGTCCATCTAGTTGAACAGCCCTTCAGAAAACAGTCTCTAAGCCGACAGCCAATGTCATTTCCCAAGCCGGTCACAGATCAATTAGAAATTAACAAGCAGGTACTTGGCATATCAATTTATTCTTTCTTTCCCAAAGAGCCTCACCTCAGCAGGGCTCATCCTCAGGGCACGTTTTCGGGTCCCTAAAACCGAAACTACGGCAGTGGGCTCTGACAAGGTCAACCAGGGGCGCTGCCTGCTCAGCCATCTGCCCCTCGCTCCTTGACGCCTTTTTAAATTAAACCCCACACCCTGTGGTAAAATTGCTCTTGCTCTATAAATAGCAGACTTGGCTTGGATTGCCCTGCAAACACCGCAGAGGAGGCAGGGTGTCAGGGAAAAGAGCGAGGAAGGCCACAAGCTCAAGGGCACACTTCCTGGTCAGATGATTTGTCTCTGAGGAATCCCGAGAGGTCTCGGTGTAAAAACGCCTCCCTGCACCCCTTCTCTGGTGAAGTCCCTGTCTAAGATCTCTCAAGAGAGCACCTCGCTTTCCCCTTTCTCAATATCTTCCTGATGGAATTTATTTTGGATCAGGAAATGGCTGCAGGCTTGCTGTAGGTGTGCCAGCTCCTTTCTGTAGACCCAGGACGCGCTTCTGATTTCAGTCCCATCATCACCGAGCTAAAACGGAAGCCTTCCACAGGCACACGTGGCTTTCTACAGCTTCCTGATGCTTCCTATAGTCACACTGTTATAATATCAGAATGCGGTCTTATTACCCGCTGGCCTGCCATTTTATAGACTGTTACAGCCTCACATCTGTTCACTGGGAAGGGCCCTGACAGTTTCCTAACGTTCCTTGCATGATTATCTCTAAACTCTTACTCCACCTGACTGAGAGCCCTCCCCTCTGTTGGCTGCCACACTTGGGTCACCTCCTCATGGCTGTCACCACTCTGTAGTGATTGAATCCCTGCCAAAACTTCCTGGGCTATTTTTCAAGTGTTTGACCCTCGTCTAGTCCTCGCTGCCCCCACAGTTCACATTCTTCCTTTTCTACTCTCTGCCTCATCATTGGCCATGTGGCAGTCTTGCAAACCAGATTGTGCCCCACAGTGTAACCACAGGGAGGTGAGCTTTGTCTAGGGACAGGAGTTCTGCCTCCACCACAGAGACTCATACTGTGACCTCTAATTCTCCCACTCTGGGAAAAGCCCCACCTCCAGTTCCTTATGAGGGCAGCCTGGCTCTCCCAGGTTCCTTTTCAAAAAGGCAGGTGGAGAATGCAGAGGCCTGAGGGCTGAACATGTCCTGGACTTCACCTGTCTCAGAGGAGGCTTCCATTTCTGCTTCTCCCACCAGAAGCTTTCAGTTCTGGGAGACTCTCAGACTAACTGTACCGTCTCAACAGGGTCCTGCCTGCGCTTTGCTCGCTGTCTGCAGTTCCCTGGAATGGGAAACGCAGAGTGGAGGTACCGGCAAGATGGCTCAGTGAGCTAGAGGAATTTCTGTCAAACCTGAGGACCCGGGTTCGATCCCTGGAACCCATGTGGTGGAGGGAAGGAACCAGTTCCCTACATTTGCCCTATGATCCCCAAGTATGTACTGTAGCATATGTGTGCCCCCGACACCCCTGCCCACCAATAAGTGAGTGTAAAAAGAAAGAGAAAAGCAAGTGTGGTAGAAAGGCCAGCAGGTTGGAATGGCCCAGATGTTCTGGGTCACTCTCTAGACATCTGACGGGGGCTGTTCGCAGAGCGTTTGTGCAGAATTGTTTTTCTTTTTTTTCTTTCTTTCTTTCTTTCTTTCTTTTTTTTTTCTTTTTGGTTTTTTCAAGACAGGGTTTCTCTGTGTAGCTTTGCACCTTTCCTGGAACTCGCTTTGTAGACCAGGCTGGCCTTGAACTCACAGAGATCCGCCTGCCTCTGCCTCCCGAGTGCTGGGATTAAAGACATGCGCCACCACCGCCCGGCCAGAATTGTTTTTCACAGTGTTTGGCTGAGTAGAGCAGACTAGTATCCCCAGCCAAGGAACTTGGGACAAATTCAGCCTCTCAGGACCCTTGATCTACTGAGTCAGAATCTTATTTTAACACCATCTCCAGGTTCTTCGACACATCTCAGGATACAGAGTGGATGTCCACAAGACTATCTTGGAGCTGAATGGTGTTTTGCATGTGTGTGTGTGTGTGTGTATAGCAACCATCTGGGGCAGTAGAAGCCTGAATGGAATCCTTGGTGTGGCTGTAGAGGCACCTTTAAGAATGTGAACAGGCTAAGAGCATTTAGAGGTTATCAATGTGTCAGCAAAGCAACCTCTTTATGGGGATCATTTAATTAATGTTAATTGCTCTTGGCCTATTGTGTGACTCTGGCAGGATTTACAGAAAATCACCATTATCTACAACCCCATAAAAGACTCATTGCTTTTAGAGGCCTTGTAACTCATGCCTGGAGACACCTCCTGATACTTGATGTATTACCCAGATGTATAAATACTGCTACTGTTTGCATACTTCTCTAAGGTGTCTAGGAGCTTCCTGGGGACTGGGCAGGTGTGCCCAAGTGAAGAGCCAGCTCTTCATATGTTACAAGCCAAGTAGCAGTTGGGGGAGAATTTGCTCTATAAAGAGGAATGATTTATCCAGTTTTATTACCCCATTCAATGCTTTCATGGATTACAGAACTTGTGCTGGTGTTGCCCTGAGCCCAGTGGATGTTGAGCGCCATTCTGCACCGTTGTGACATCCCATCCCTTCTCCTCTTAGTGTCTCACGGGTGAGAGAGAGAGAAAAGTAGGCCGGAAATAGAGTAGTGACAGATGATGGCTCTGGAAGGGCCACAGCTTGATCGTAGGGAAGCTGCGCCCATCTCAGGCTGGCATCTGTGCCACCGCTGAAGGGATTGGGGGTAGCCTGTCTTTCCTGAGTTTGGAGTCACAGGCCTCTGAGAAAACGAACACCTTTGTCGCCCCCTCCTCCTCCCCCTTAGTATTTCCATTTGTTTCATCTAAAAGGGACAGAGTTGTGTTTTGAATTCATTCACACTCTGTTTCAATTACCTTCAAGGATAACTTATTTCCCATATTTATTACCCTCCTGAGAGGACTCGGGCCTCGGAAACTTTCATCCCTCATGCTTTCGAAAAGCATTCTCACAGTTATTTCTCCTAGCAGGAAGGCTCGCTTCCATTTGTGGCAGAAGAGTGGGGAAGATGGAGGCGGTTAGAAGAAAGAAGCCCGTGAGCCAAAGACTGCAAACGCCTCCCCATTGAGGCGGATTGTGCAATAGAGCATGCGCAGAAAAAGTGCTTGCTGTGTGCTTGTCCCTATCAGCTTAGTGCGGGCGCCATGGAGCACCTAACCTTTCCCAGATCTCCAGTGCCTTGCTGAGAAGCACTCTTTTTCTTAATAAACTGCCTGTTTCTACCACTGGCCCCATACGGTCCTGGTCAAATTCCTTCTTCTGGGACGGCAGAACCTCGAACTCCTGGATTCTACTGTCTGCCTGTAACCCTTTTAACTTTGGAAACAACCTCTCTCACAGTTCTAAACAGTTCTTTGCCCTAACGTTTTCCATCTCTTCCCCAAGCTTGGAGCATCACTGGCTTGCTCAAGACCAACTCTTGCACATCTTACTTGAGCTGGCCTTCGTGTGGATAAGAGTGGCCGGTTTCTTATTTATCTTTTACACTTATCAATTTTTTTTCAATTCTCCCACAAAATTCTGTGAATTAAGTGGGTCTGATAGCTTTAGATTTTTTATTATAGTGATTTATTTATTGTGTGTGTGTGTGAGAGAGAGAGAGAGACAGAGAAGGAGAGAGAGGGAGAGAGAGGTGAGAGTGTGAGGCTGCTGGTGCATGTGGAGCTCAACAGGACAGCTTGTAGCAAACAGTTCTCCTACCACGTGGGTCCCAGGAAGCAAACTCAGGTCATCAGGTGTTGTGGCAGCTGCCTGTACCTGCCGAGCCATCTCACCTAGCCTCGTGTAGAAATTTAACACCCATTTCACAGATGAAGAAACTGAGATGGGGACGCAGAGCTGGGGCTGGAATGAACAGCTGTAACTGAGCAGAGCAGTTGTGGCCACTCAGTAGAACCCAGCATGGCGGACCTGGACCCCAGCTTTGAGGTACCAGGGTGGCAATGGGACTGTGTTCCCTGACAGCCAGCACCACCAAGTCCTCTGCTGTGCGGTGCTGCCTTTGTTCTAGCCAGGGAGGTGAAGGTCGGGCCTTCATGGTGCGTGGCATGCCCTCTTGAGTTTGGTTTGCTGTCCCGGCATCTGGGTACTGCCCTGACAGTGTGGGAGTATCTACCAATCTGTCTGGAGTCCTTCCCCACCTAACCTGCTGCAGGGGCTCTGCCCCCCCCCCCATCTTTCGGGCTGCATGGAGGTTTGGGTGCATGACCCACTTTTCTGCCCTCAGAGGCATGCGCCATCTGTGGACTCTCGCCCCAGCGACTCGTGTTTCCAGGAGCCCAGTTTCAGTGTCACTTGTCATTTGCTCTGCTTCCCGGCCTTGCGTCCTCTGG